TAATATCAGTCAATTATAAAATTATAGACTGTCAACAAAGAATTAACATATGTGCAGTGGTAGATTGAGAAGCAATATCCACACTGTGGTTACCGCGTCGTCTATGCTTGTATTTCAACCATGCCAAATTATTTATGTTTTCTGTGTTGTGGAAAATATCTACCATGGACATTTGCATTTCCCCAATACGCAAGTTGTGTAAGTAGTGAGTCTATACTCGCATGATATTTGGCTTGTAGTTCACTTCAATCTGCGGTACTCTTGTATGTTGTATATCAGACATGTTGTATTCTGTATCACCACCATTCATTATCAAAGATACCATTTCAGTGGTCCACGTTGTACCTGAAATATGAAATAAAAAAATAACAGCAGATTCGCCTCTTCTCATTTAAGTTGTCTTTCTATTGTGACGCATTTTGTGTAATTAGATATTTATAGACGTGTGTATATTTTTGTATGCCAATAGACGCTCACGAGAGGGCGTTAATAATGATCGAATTTACTGGAGCTTAAGGAGGCTTTGTCCACTATATATGTAGGTCACAGGTCAATTTCAATTAGTCGTCTATTATCACCGAGTCTGGACACATGGCTAACACCTTGCCACGTGGAGGCATGCAGTTGCTTCACTACGAATTCCCAAAGACAGATTGTTTCACGTCAAGCCGAATTAAAGACAATGTACAGTTTTACTATGTCATTCCACGGACGTTTGTATGAACTGCATCGTCTCTCTTTCTCAGCAAGATTTACAAGAACTCACTGCCGCCCAGCAATCACTCGCAATTGTTCAAGCCGAAGCCAGCCGAAGATTAGGCCATGTGTTGTTTGCGTCGAAAAGATTGACTTTTGAAACGAGGTATTTTAGTGTCCATGTCATTTTATGACTCCAGGCGACTGTAAATGTATTTTCTTTGCGTTGTCTAATTTCGTGTGTCTTACCACACTGTTATTGTATTATGCTGAATTTGTGAATTTATTGTTCATTTGAGTTAATGTCATTTGATACCTCGTGAGCGCACTATATTTATTTACACGAACACAATAATAGAATTTGATAACATCCTGTGTTCGTATCGTTTCTTGTTGCGAACCCTTGTTCGGCCGTAACACCATTTAAATTCTGTTAAGATTAAAAAATAAACTTGACTAATATATATAATGCTTATTGTAATTTCCTCGTTTTTTGTGTTTACACAAAAACGGGCTTATATGTAGTTGAAGCAGATCTGTTGTTTGCTGTGAAGTTGTACCCATATATATATATATATATATATATATATATATCGTTCTTACTGTAAAATAAGTTAACTGTCAGTAGTGAACTGACATTAAAAGACAGTAGTATATTAACACTAGTGTAGAAACATGTGTTCTATTTGATTTACTAGCATATCAATGTTTAGCTAGCAAAATATACGGGATTCATGCTGACTGAACCACAAGGACATTCAGCCATCATAAGCTGTTGAGAGTTTCTATGTACCATTTGCAGTATTTAAATATTCATAACACACGGCAATTGTTTGTGCTCACATAAACTAACACCAGAATTGCTATTTTTGTACTCGTTTGTTGCAAAATCTTCTTAGCAGTTTATCCGTTGTGACTGGACAAACAATTCATTTGTTATTTTCATTATATTCAGTTATATACACACATTGGCAACATTTTTTACTAAATTGTTTGCCAG